AAGAGTACTTCCTTTTTCTGAGCTGTGAGTATTATTGGTGGCACTTGAGAGAAAATGCTGGCACAGACTGGCGTGCACTGTACTTCCTCATCTCGCATTATGTTTTATTCAACATGTGATTTTTTTGCACTCTTGTCATCAACAAGTGACATGCATTTAAATTTGGATGTTCCATCTCTTCAGTGCTACAGGCACAACAACAACAACAACAACAATAAATAATAATAATAATAATAATAATAATAATAATAATAATAATAATGGTTATTCTAATTATTTTTATATTTTATTATAGTTTTTATATCATTATTGCACTGATTTTGCCACTAAGATTTGTTTATTATTGTTGTAGCTCTATAAATATACAACTTTTTACAGAATGATAAAACATGATACCTGATGATGATACGTGAATGTTTTTCACCAAAACCAAAAAAACCGAATATAAAAGTGGCTGTATTTAAGTTAATGACCGCTGGGTGGCAGCACTTCACCCGGGAGCGTCTAGTCGACATGTGTGTCGAAGGAACGCAGAAGAAGCAAGCCGAGTCTCCGCTGCAACCACAGACGAAGAAGAAGAAGTCCTTGTTAATAACGTTGTCATCAATACGCAGAAGCCATCGACGGCCTGTGCGACAAATCCTCCTCAACACCGACACTGAGCGCGGAGAACAAGCGGAGCGAGGTGGGTCCTGAACGAGCAGTATCTACGCGTTAAAGGTGAAGTGTGTTGTTATCTCAAAGGAAGCCGCTCGGCTGCGAGCTATCGCCGAGAAACCGGCTCTTTAACGTGAACGCTAGCCCCGTTAGCTCCGACAGCGTCACCGTGTGAATGGTCTCCTCCGGTGGGCTGAGGTTGGTTTAATGGTCGATAGCTCGTTAAATTAATCACACTAGCGTTACTTTTTCATCCGGCTGTTGTTGTTTAATTCCTCCCTTTCACCGCAGCACAGTTCAGTTCATTACTAACGTGACTTGTTTATGCTGTGGCGTAGATTATGAAGGCCTAGTGATGGCTATTATTAGCGGGCCAGTGTTTCTTGCCCCAGGTTTTGGCGTATGCAGCCATCTTTTAAGTATCGCCACCGACATAATATAACGTTACGTTACTCGCCAACATGTAAACCGTCATATTTATGTGGCTGTGAGTTCAGAGGTTTTTAATCACTCATTTCAGATTGTGCCGTCAATGTCAATTTCTTATCAGTTATGATGGGTAACCTGTTAAATCGTTGCCAAGTCAAAAGTGGTGCATTCATGTTGCTCCTCATAATATAACACAAACCTTTCACTTGACTTGCAGATAAGATACTGACTTACAATGTGGGACGGACCAGGGCCTGGGCAAGGACCACGGGGAGGACCACCCTTTCGGTAAACAAACATATTATTTTATCTTATTTAGTAAGAAAGATACATATTTTATTTTATTCATATTTATAGTAATTGAACTTCTGTGTTTTCCCATAACGCTGCTTGCTAAGGGTGGGCAATATGTTTAAAATCTGATATCATAATTTATATACATTTATAATGTGATCTTGATATATAGGTGATTTTAAAATGTTCTGGAAAGCATTAACTGATTTAAACCATTTAGTATTTGTTTACATATTCAGAAACTATATTTTTCTCATATTTCTGCATTTTATAGCTACTCACCTTTTTTCTGTTAATGGAAAAATGTCTGACTTCCCAGTATTTATTACCATATTGCCCCCCTCCCCCTTCTGTACGCCTTTATGGTTGGGCAATTGAAAATGAACTTGATATTTTTTCCCTGCCTGTGCATTTCAAACAAATCAGAAGCCTAACATATTAATACACATTCCAGTGGCGATCATCGTGGGGAAATGTTTGGTGGCAGAGATCGTCCCATGTCGGATTACAGAGGTAGAGACGGCATGAACGTGGGTCCCATGGGTCATATGGGCCCAAGACCTCTAGATCTACCACCTATGGATATGAGGAGGATGGATGGGCCACCCATGAGGGGGCGTGATATGGACCCACGTGAAATGCGAGGTAGAGAGCCAAACAGAGATTTTTTTAGACCAGGAGAAGAGCCAGACTTCAGCCTTAGAAGGCACTATGAAACTTCCATCAGAGACAAACTTATGAATTCTTCTTCTGGTTTCCCGGGACCAGGCAGGAACTCAGACATGGGAGGGAGGGGTATGCCGCCACGGGAACCGAACAGCAGATTTATGGACAGAGACAGAGAGTCATTTCACTATAACATGCCACAGTTCAACAACCCCAATGTTGAAGGAAGAAGAGGGGGGTTTCCTGTGGACCGAATGGAGCGAAATGATGGATTTAGGGACATGCGCGATAGGCCCCCAATGGGCACTGGTGACACTGACCGCTATGATATGGACATGCCTCCACGTGAAAGGAGAATGATGGACACTGACAGAAGAGGAGGGCCACCTTTCAATCCAAGAGGTGGATTTGACTCTGATATGGATTTCAGAAATCGCCACGGACCAGCAGCAGAATTTAGAGGTAGGGATCGGTCGCCATTAAGATTTGGAAACAGTGATGTCCCTCCAGTGGACAGGGCAAGATCAGACATGCCTTCAGATGTTTCTGGCCCTCAAAGATCAGAGTTTATGGGTGCAGAAGATGCACTCAGAGAGAGAGAATACACAGATTCAAGTGGCAGTCCCCTTATGGATTATCGAAGCGGTGAAGAGATGACTCTTGCAGAGGAATGGAAGAACCGTCAAAAGGACAAAAACCCTTTCTTGAACATGGGTAAAGGCATGGGAGGTGTACCCGAACCCAACTTTCCTGTAGGTTTTGGCCGAGACGTAAATGTGCGAGATCCACCACCATTTCAAGAAAGGGACAGGCCACCCGTTGAATTCCCAGGGAAAGATGTTGGATTTCCTCGTGGTGACCACTTTCCTGCTATGGATCTCCCAACAATTGGCAGCAAACCTCCACAAAACCACCCACACCCAGAAATAAGTCCCCTTACTGGCCCTCTTGGGAGAGAAAATCAGAATAAACATTGGCTTGGCGAAAGGGACCCAAAGCATAGTCAGAATAAATCCAGTCGTGACGAAAGGCCCCCTTACCATAAAGAGAAGAATCAGCCCGCACATGAGATCCAGGTGCCAAGTGATTGTTTTAAAGGGCTGAAGGATATCCCACACAGTCAGGGACCTGCCAGGGGTAAGATGGGGGCAGAACGTGACTTCGAAAGCAGCAGCACAGTACAGACGAGAGACCAAGACTACAGGGACATCGACTACAGAACAGGGTCTGGGAGGGCTTTTGACTACAAACGCGAAGCACTTCAGGCACCAGAGAAACTCATCAAAGAATCTAAACCAATCACACCATCAAAATTTAGTGAGTCTGGTTCTCAGGTACGTGTATTTTTTTTATTTTGTTGCTACTATTTGTTCATAGGTTACATTTGTATTTATTATAATATTTTGATGTTTCATAACCAGAATTTTAATCAACATTTCTGTAAAAGGATCAAGATTACAGGAGTGCATCAGTGGAGGACAAAGTTTCCAATACAATATCCATAATTGGTATTCCAAAGACTGCCACAATGGAGCAGGTAATCAAACAGAAAAGCAACTTTATGTATTATTTAGTTATGGTTACCAGACTGTACTAGTATTGTTGGCATGGCATAACTCACTCATTTTGAAATGTTCAATTGCAGATCCTTGGTGCCTTTGCAGTCCGTGATGGTGTGCCAATGCAGGGGATGAAAATCAAAAATGTTGTGCCAGGTAAGAATTGAGTTTCTTTGCGAAACTGTTTGGGGCAGTCGATCGCTAACGTGTCCCTCGATATTTCGCTTTTACGACATTCGAAAAACTCCGCATTCTTTCGTTTTTACATTCTTGGATGCTTTTGTTGGTGGTGGTCTGTGTGAACTTGCTCAGTATAGAAGAAAGGGGGGTGGTGGTGGGGGGTTCTTATGGCATATTTTTTCATGTCTGAGGTTTTGGGGTCATTGTCAGCAATTACAGGATTTACCAAGGATTCAATATAAGGAGCTTTGGAGAGTGATATTCAATGTCTGTCACAAAAACAAGCGACTCACTGAATGTGTACTTCAGGGACACTATATAAATGCTCTGACTGAAGAAAAACAATGTCCACAAACCTGAAATGGAGACTGCCTTGTTAGTGCTTTGTTCATCCTGCTGATCTAAACGTGCTTTAGAGTTTTCAACAGCGGATCGCTGTAAACATGGTTGTAGATGATGCCAAGCCTTTTTGTGAAGATTATGTCTCAAAGGTTGTTAATTTTTGCACAAATATATCAAAATGTCCATCACAGAAAGAAAAATGGGGAGCCTTTTTTATTTTATTTTATGTAAACACGAATGGTACATTTTCTGTCTCCATGGTGCACACCACGCAGTTCACTGCCACTGGTCTGGAATATCTGTCCGTTAAGGCTTGGCTTTATCAAAGCCTTTCCTGGCAAAGTCTGATATGTCAGTCATCAAAAGGCTGAATAGAAAAAAACATAAACAAAATGTTTGTTTTCCTGAAAAGGTATGTGTGTCAATAAAAGTGTAAATATTCGCTCACTCTGATTTCGATGTATTCACGAACTGCTGTCTTTTATGTTTTAGTGGGTGACTGTCATTACTGGCATTGACTAACAAAAACCCATCTGTATTTCAAATGCTGTCCCCAGGTTACAGCTACGATACGGCCTATGTGGAGTTTTTAAACCTCGAGGATGCAGTCCACTTCATGGAGTCCAACAAGGTGGCCCATCCTCGTCACTCTACGAAGGCCGTCTCTCCCATCAGGATTATGAGGGGTTGAGAGGGCATTTAGTAGATGGGGGAGGGACAGAACCTGGGAAGGGGTTGCTGTTGCATTTAGTGAACTTACTTTGGTAAAGGAGATGAAGATTGTTTTAAGTTTTTAGATGCTAATGTTTAAAACCGCAATAGTTTTTCCTAACTACATAAATTATATA